CACCCAAACAAACACACACACACACACACACACACACACACACACACACACACACACACACACACACACACACACACACACACACACACACACACACACACACACGCACACGCACACGCACATACACACACAACTGAAACAGCTGCTTTAAACAACTGTTTAAGGTATGGTGTTAGAGTGATCGCAGGTTGTTTTTCGCTGTTTGATGAACAAACGCCCCCTGATGCTGACACAAAAGAATCTGTGAGGTGCTTCTCTTAAATTTGCATCAGATAACACATATGCAAAACACAAGGAGGGCACTGGAAAAGAAATGGTCTTTAAAAAGCCCTTAAGCCTTGAGAGAAAGACAACAATAAAGAACAGAAAGAGCTCAGTCTAATGTTCAATTAAATGCAAATGTTGCTCTATGCATTATTCAGGTAATGAAAGCCTCCTTTTCTCGCTGTTGTAGCGGCTCAGGAAGTAATTTGACAGGAAACGGCGCAACACAGACGCTTAAACACTTTTGGAGGAGGGAAATATTTACAAATAACCTTCTTCAGATAGGAACAAATTAAGAGATATTGAAAATAAACTAATACATCTAATATGAATAGTGTCTAGAACTAGAATAGAACTCAATGCAGCACACAAGGAAAACATTTGATGTAAAATACAGTTGATTTAAAGTTGAAAACAAACTGGACTCATCACAAGTGAATAATTACAAGGCCAATGTCAAATATTCCTTTTTTAAGGCAAAATCTAACAAACAGCTCAACTCTAGAACAAAGTCCTTATACCATTTATACCATTGGGACATTTTCCACTAAGGGGTCCATCCACTCCACAGTTCTGGGACAGATTTTGTTTACGTATTTAAAAAGATCCAGTTAAACATTCATACAAAAAAAAGTACCTTCTCAGTGCTTGTTGATCACTTCACGTCTTTTTTTATCCTACTCAGGACACTGTTGGTCTGACCACAATAAATATCTGTCTTTATGTTTATGCATTTAGCAGATGTTTTTATCCAAAGAGACTTAAAAAGTAAATACAATGTTACAGTTATCACCAATCTGACAATGAACTCTCGAGAGGAAAAACCTTAGTCAGAGTCATTGGTGACAGCCAAGAGATTGAGGAAGTACAGAAAGACAAGTAGAAGGGGAATAGAGTTATGGGTAAGAGTAAGGATAGGAACCACCTCTTTGAAGAGGTGGTTCTTTAAGAGTTTCCTGAAGGCAAACAAGGACATGCTGTTCTTGTAGCACTTGGTAGGTTGTTCCTGGATTGTCTTAAGCGTGGTGCAGCTCTGCTGGACCACAACCCACTGATGACCGGAGGGACCAGCTGAGACATAAGCCTTTGCAAGAGGATTCAAGTAGAAGGGAGCCGTACCCTTAAGTACTTTGTAGGGCAGCATCAGGGACTTGAATTTGATGCAGGCAGCCAGGGGTAACCAGGGGTAACCGGTGGTAACCTGGGATAACCAGAGGTAACCTGGGGTAACCAGAGGTAACCGGGGATAACCAGAGGTATCCGGGGATAACCAGAGGTAACCAGGGGAAACCGGGGGTAACTGGGGATAACCAGAGGTAACCGGGGGTAAACAGAGGTAACCAGTTAAGCTCAGTGAACAAAGGGATGACGTGAGACTTTTTGGGCTGATTGAAGACCAGACGCTCTGCAGAGTTCTGGATGATCTGTAACGGTTTTACCGTCCAGGCTGGGAGACCAGTCAAGAGTGCGTTACAATAGTCAAAGCGTGAGATAACCATAGACGGTACTAGGAGCTGGGTAGCATGTTGGGTTAGGTATGGCCGGATCTTTCTTATGTTTAGTAATGTGAAGCGACAAGATGGAGAAACAGAGATAACATGACCAGCTGGTCATCAATCATGATACCCAAGTTTCTTGCTGCCTTTGACGGAGTCAGGGACAGGGATCCACTCTAGATGTGAACATTGTGGTGTTTGGTTGGTTTGGCTGGAAAAACAAGCAGTTCAGTTTTAGAGAGATTCAGTTGGAGGTGCTGGGCTTTTATCCATTATGATAGGTCAGAGAGACAGTCTGTCGTGTGGTCATCAGGTGGAAATGACAGATAGAGCTGGGTGTCGTCAGCATAACAGTGGTATGAGAAACCATGTGATTGAATGATCTGGCCCAGAGTGGTGGTGTACAGTATATGGCAGAAGAAAAGAGGTCCCAGTACTGAACCTTGAGGAACCCCTGTGGTGAGGCGGTGCACTGCAGAAGTGTGACCAAGCAAGGATACTTTGAATGGTCGACCAGTGACGTACG